AAATATTTATATCACAACCTCTGCGAATTCATATTCGTGGCTGCGAATCAATTCTTGTGACTATCGTGACGGAAAATTGTTACTTTAATAATACTTTAGTACGACGAGATGATCTACAAAAATCAGCCAATCACAATAAAAGTTTGCTATGCTCGGGTATGTACGTACGTACGTACCTTTAAGTAGTCATACATATGGGAATAATACGGGCCTATGCAACAGTGGACTTAAATAGGGATAGGAAATAATTCGATTTGTATTAGATATATCTTTGACCATTTCCGCTCTTAATGCTTCTTTGATTTCATCCGGAAGATCCTTCTTTATATAGTCTGTAAAAGAAAATTATATAGTCGTTAACCTTTCACAGCCTTAGTGAAATTAAAATAAATTAAAATACTGTATTAGAGTACCTTTTGTTTTACGTATTTCTATATCGATATTACTAAAATAAATAGGAAAGATAAAGCCTCTGTGAATAAGATATACTATCGCACGTAGAAATATTTTTAAAAAGGATAAAATTTAAAATAAAAATCAACAAAAGGACCAAATAAAAATTTTTTTAGCAAAAATTTTTTAACTAATCCAAAATTAATATAGAAATATAACTCTTTAAAGTTTGTCTCAGAAAAAATATTACCAAAATTGAAAAAAAGAAAAAAATAAGCAGCTAAATATATTATCTCAACATCTCATTAAGAGAACTTACCTTTGCCTCGTTTTTGAGGTCTAGATATCTTTGAGCGGAAATGGCCCCTTTCTTCAAATATTGTTTCAGCCACATAAGAAATATTTCTTTTTGGGCGATAAATGTAACTTTATCGCCCCTTGTCTTTCCGCATTTTCGTGATATTTTCGATAACTCTATCTCTCTGGCTTGGAGTTTTTGAAATATTTTTGGGCTATTCTGTAAAGTCGCTTTTCTTCTCCATTTAGTGGGTACTCCATTCTAAGGTATAGCGTTAAAATTTTTCTTTGTTAATGTGCGAAGTGAATCTAAAAGAAATCGAAATTAGATAAAAAAAATAAGTGATAACTACCATAAAGTCCTGAATATAAGCAACCCCCGAAAATAAGCAATACCCTGCATTTCGAGATCAAAATGCTAGAAAAATAAAA